GCACGTTTTATTATGAATGCGTGCGCTTTATTTGACGACTTGTGGACTGAAGCACTGCAACACCCGCTGACTGCAATGATAGAGCTTGGAATAGCCAGGACAATTTTTAATATAACTCCGACTGGATTCGTCTGAAAGAATAAAGTCATATACACCTAGGATGCTTCGAGGGTGAGTAAAACACAAGCTAATTTTCATTTTTGGGTGAACTAACCCTTTAAGGTCAGCTAATTGCATTTAATAAAAATTTAAACCATAATGCAATTTCATTTAAGTACTTTTACTTACACTCGTCACGTCTTTTACTTGCACTCAAGACGTCTCACACTGGTTTCAAAGAGCACACAGCATTTACTCAGAATAATGTGATTTCTCATATTGTTTTTATACCTCCGTTTTCTCTGCTCTCTCCTCTATTTTTATGACCTCTCCCTGTTTCTCTGTCTCCATTCGACTAAGAATCTACTAAACGATTTTAATGGAAGATATTGGTGTGTGTTCCTTTGACAGGAGCGCGGCTCTGAGGAGAACTCCTGTCATTATATGGAGAGCAGTATCAACGAGGTGGTGTTGAGTGATCTGCGCAGGGCGACGCAGTATGAGGTTCAGGTCCGCGCTCGCACCTTGGCTGGCTACGGCAGCTTCAGTCAGGCTGTCGTCTTTCGGACCCTTCCTGACGGTAAGAAAAGCTCTAGTCGGAGGCGTCAGCTCAGTGTTGTGGTCATTTATTAGTGCCCAACTTTTTGTTCCCTAGAGTTTTGTTTGAGAAGGCGGTTTATTGATTTTTTTTCCTCCTTGTGTAGATCGAAGCCATTTTTTTTTTTTGAGATTGTATCGCACCTTTTTCTGTTTTTAACCCATCTCCCTCTCACTTTGGCTGTGTGCCTCTCTGTTTCCCTAGAAGATGATTCCTCATCTCCGCTGCTTGTTACCGGGATCCTTATAGCCCTGGGCATGCTGCTCCTCATCATCGTCATTGCTGCTGCGATCTACTGTATAAGGTACAACAAGAGACCAACAAGAAAAAGAGAGTGTTATAATTGGGCCTGTGTGGAAACTGTGAGTGCAGAAAGCTCAGGAGATTTCCACAGAATCGAACAGCCATCATTCACTCGTGCCCTGTCCACTGCATATTTGCTTATTAAATATTTAGGCTATTTTTAATAATGCTTTCAGCAACCACTAAAACTAGAAATGTCAGCAGAGTCGAACACATTTTACTATAGTTGAATGTGCTGGTTTCAATGTTGAGATACTTTGTCTTATCCTGGGATAATGAGAGGCAACTGTAAGCTCTTTGTAGGTTTCACTTTGTGACACTTTCACATCATTGCATTCAAACATTTATTATGTCATTTGGCTCAATTAATAGTATGGTTTTAGCACTACCTGTTTTATTGAGTAATGCATGAGTTTGGGAAACCTGTTTGGAAATAGTCATTATTTTTGCACGAATGACCAATGTTGTTATTGTTAACTAAAACTAAAACCAGGGTTATTATCGTTAACTAAAACTTTTCAAAAACAAAAAACAAAAAACAAAATTGTTACTTGAAATAAAATTAACATTAAATGAAATAAAAACAAAATATAAAAGTACTCAAACATATTATTATTAAACATTTATTTTAGCTAGCTGCCAAGGCAACATTTCTCATTTTTGTAAAGTACTGAAATAACTACAATTAAATAAACTAAAACTAAAATCTAATAAAAACTATAGAAATATATTAAAAAAACTAATACAAATGACAACAACAAACAAAAATACTGAAACTTGTATATTTAAAAAATATTAAAATGAAATACAATTTAAAATATTAGCAAAAACTATAATAGTATATTAATGATACTAAAATAACACTGACTAAACGATTAACAATCATTGTCTGTAATTAAAATTATAAAAAATAAAATAAAATATAAACATTTGATCAAAAAGAAACTTAAGAAATGTTGCCTTGGCAATTAGCTGAAATAAAATAATTTTAAGTAGAAATACTAAAATTGCTGAAACTAAAACTGTACACAATACAATAAACAATAATAACACAGTGAATGACACATCTGTCCTTTACTTCACATTTGCAGAACTGCACTGATTTTTCCACACAACCATTGCAGAAAAAAGTGGTAATTCTGTGTGGACCTAATTAAATGGAATATCTAGAAGTGACAATGACTTAATTTGCCTCTAGCCCTTTGTACACCAGCCTGTTTGAGCCGAAAGACCTAATGTACATTTCCAAAGTGATCGGGCTGTCCTAACAGTTATTTCAGCTTCATGAGTTTGTGGGAAATGAGAGAGAGAGAGAGAAGAGAGGAGAAAGGGGAAGTGGAGACGGGATACAGTTTTCCCACCCCAGTCTCCACAGGCCAAATCAGCAGAACAATAGTCGTGACCCTGGGGTAACACACACAACTCACACTCACACACACACACACACACTTCTTTAAGCGCAAGTGTACCTACACAATGAACAAACTTTTTTACATTCTTACACTCCAGTGGACACGCAGACTCAGATTGCTGGTAAATTGGACGTATGTATGGCCACGTATGCACAGCTAAGATTACAGGAGCGTGCCTGTTTAGTGGTTACATATATTGTTCACATTTGCACACATTACATATCAAACTTTGACACCCAGTTAAACGGAGAGTCCCTACAATCAATGCAATCTGTCATTAGCATGTGGCTAAGCTAACAACACAATCCTCACATGGAATACACAATTATTGGGTAATGCATTTTACTATTGAATCATATGCTTTTAGAATTAACATTTCTTAACTAATCAGCCATTTTTATGAAGCTTTTTCACAGTTTTACATGCGATCCATGCGGTCAATAGGGAACAGGGGACGTTCACACCAATGTAACATTTTTAAAAAGTTATATGTTAAAATGTTCTTAAAGTAATGTTTATGGAACATTCTTATAACTTTATTAATATTTGATATATGTTCTCTGAGATCAATTATGATGTCCTTATGATTTTATTTGTACTTTAACGTTTTCAGAATGTTTGGAGAAAACTTTTTTAGAATATTAAAAATAAACATTCAAAGAACATTTTATCTTATAGATATCATATAGATTGTTCTAAGAAACATTTATGTAACCTTTAAATAATGTTATAATCAGGACAAGAAAACCGGGCATTTCAAAACTATGTTTTTATAACCTAAAGTTGTTACCTGGGACGTGTGTTTGTGATGCCTTAAAACTGTCTAGTTAAGCTATAAAGTACCAATAATGTAGCAATGGAATGAATATGATTCATGATATAATGTTTTATTTATAGAAAATATTATTGCTGTTTGTGATAACCATACAACACAAGCGAGACCTAGGGATGGGTGTATCGATCCTGAAGTATCGATATAGTGATACTGATGCGAGTATCGAAAGTATCGATACTTAAATAAAAGATATCGATACTAAGGTGTGTTTTTTTACCAGTGATTTTGTTTATTGAACAAAAATTTAATGCGTGCAATATGCAATAACCTGTGTTAGCGAATAATTGTGTAGGATAGAACTATTTTCCTGCTCATCTGAACTCACGCAAATGCTGCAAGACAGAACTAATCAATCACAGAGAGCGTTCGCTCATTCAAACAGGGCTGCGTTTCCCAAAAGTATCATAAGAAACCATTGACGCTTTTGGGAACTGCAGCCCAGAACAATGAGGACAGAAAAAAACATATGTTTGAGATATTTCACAATAAACAAATTTAAATTGTAGCCTACATAATTTGTGCAATTGCATTTATTTAGATTGAACATTAAAACTTCATATTGATCATGTTCTATTCTGTAATGTTAATATAAATAATGCACTGTCAGAATAAACAGTTGCATTTTATGCGTGCACCAGTATGTCACTGGCAGTCCCTTATGAAAATGAACCTATAGTTCAACTATAGTATTTGTAGATTTCTACAGTAAACATTATTTTAACCACGTATAAACAAAAATATAACTTAATAAGTTGCAATTAAGGCATATTGAATGTTAAAATGCATTTCAAATATAGTTAAGTGGGTATCATTACCCATTTTACTCTTAGAAATGAAATAATTTAATACATTTAATAATTTAAAAGTTCAGTTTAGAAGTATCGTATCGGTATCGCCGATACTGGCCTTTAAAAGTATCGGTATCGTATCGAAAACAAAATAAGTGGTATCTCCCATCCTTAGCGAGGCCCAACAGCAGTACATTGGGTTTGGCATTTCTCCCATTAAACCTGATGGTGTAAAGCCACAAATGATATAGATGCTGGTGAGCTGGTGCTCCAACCTGGCTTAATAACTAGCTTTACCAGCAAGACTTCCATGGTCAGTCAGCCAAAAAGTCCTTGCTAAGTGGCCAACAACACGGTCAACCTGCTAGACTAGCATCAAACCAGCACTTTAGCAGCAATTGGTGATTTGAGACAGACTAATTGAACTGAAGAGCGTCACACGTTAAGTCAAACGTTAACTCACTCAGCTATGCAATGACTAATAGCTTGAAGCCTCTGCTATGGGTTTGTCCCTAGTCCTGAAAATGGCCATTAATATCTAGAAAGCTTAAATGTGTTTTATATTTGAATATGCATGTTACACTGCTCTTGCACACATTGTGTGATGTTCACCAGTGTTTGGCATTGAAAGAAGTTTAGATCTCACAGCAGACATTGACATCAACTATCCATTTTCTGTTCACAGGAAGCAAAGTCATTTCAAAGATGCAGAAACGAGTGACAAAAATGGCCAGTATCTCATGGGTCACGGTGAGCGCAGAAACACACACACACACGACATCTTACTGTAATTATGCATTCCGGTTAAGTTGTGGGTTTTTTGATTAATGGAGTAACTGACATGTTTCCCTCTAAGGAGTGAAAGTTTACATCGATCCATTCACTTACGAAGACCCTAATGAGGCCGTGAGAGAGTTTGCTAAGGAGATTGATGTCTCGTGTGTCAAAATCGAGGAGGTTATCGGGGCAGGTAAGACTTACCCGTTTTATAACACATTATAAGGGTATTCTTACGGCGTTATAATGAATGCATAATGCATTATAAAAATAAACTTATAATATGTTGTTTCATCTCAACATAATAACAATCATAACAATAACTTATATGTGGTTATAACTTTTATGAGTATGATTGTTTATAACACGCAATAAACACCATGTTAAATCCACGTAATTTACAGTGGATTATAAGTCTCATATCTTGACATTATTTATTTAAGATCTGTACAGTATCTTACTATCTTATTGATATTACAATAAATATAGTTAAAATCAAATGTGCCATATTACACATGCATCTGGTCAAATATCTGATCTTATGGCTGTTTAAGAAAAAAATATTATTATTATTATTATTGTTGTTGTTATTATTTATAAGTGGTCTTTGTCTGCTTTAAGTAAAGTAACAAGTTAACAATGCCAAGATATGATACTTATAATACATTATAACTATGGGAAATATAATCCATTGTAAATTAAGTGGATACATTGTGTTCATTGTTTATTATAAATCATCATAATCTTAAAAGCTATAACCACAAATAAGTAAATATTATAATGCATTAAAATGGTTGTTATGATTACTCATGAGATGATACAACATATAATAAGTTTTTTTATCATTCATTATAATGCCTTAATAATACTCTTATGAGGTATTATAAATACAGTAGACTTTTCTTCTACTGGACATATTTCCATTTCAGATATTAAAGTCAGGTATTTGGTTTCAGTCATTTGAAAGATATAACAAAAGCGTAATGTTGTGAACTCCAGTCTTAACATGCATTCAAGTCACGTTATTATTTATGTAGTGCTTTATACAATACAGAGTTTCGAAGCAGTAACAGTAAAAATGCATCGATTTAACCTGTAAAGCAGTCATTGAACTAAATTGCTGAATTATATTATATTGAATTATATTGCTGAATAATGTTGTTTCAATTCAGTTTAATAACTGTGACGGTGTTGCAAAGTTTATCAGTTATGCCAGTTTCAGCAGAAATATTCAGCTCAATTTAGTTCAGTGTTGTTTCATTTCAGTTCAACTGTGTCAATGTTGCAAATTTCATCAATTGTGACCCTGCCTGTGAAAACCCAGCTAATGTCATTTTTTTGTGATTTATTGTTTTCTACATAAAATCATCCTTCATAAAGATGTAGAACATTCTGTGAAAATATAACCTTTATATCTTTAATATTGACTGAGTAAGGCCATGTAAAAGATTGAAATCAGTGTGAAATTAATGGTCGAAATCAGACTTTGATGCTTTACGATTTTGAGACTTTAGCCTGGATTTCACAGACAGGGTCACAATTATTAAACAAGTTTAATATAGTTATGAGATTTCACAAAAATAGACACCAAGCAACCCCCAAAAAAGTCTTGTTTTGTTACTCACGGCTTATTACAGTCACAACTTGTTAGGACTAAAAAATTATTTGGATGAAAAGTTTCCCAAAAGCTGAGTCCCTTGTTTTGCCATTCTCAGGCGAGTTTGGAGAAGTGTGTCGTGGACGGCTGAGGATTCCGGGTAAGAAGGAGAACTACGTTGCGATTAAGACTCTTAAGGGTGGATACACAGACAAGCAAAGGCGGGACTTTCTGTCCGAGGCCTCAATCATGGGCCAGTTCCAGCACCCCAACATCATCCACCTGGAAGGCATAATAACAGCCAGCTGCCCCGTCATGATCCTCACCGAGTTCATGGAGAACGGCGCTCTGGACTCCTTCCTGAGAGTGAGTATGCGCTGATCTCACTGGCTCTCGTGCACGAGGACTAGGGTGACCAGACGTCTCGTTTTTCCCGGGACAGTCCCGTATTTCAGCTCTATTTTTAGTGTCCTGACGACTTTAGAAAAAAATCATGTTTTGTCCCGTATTTCAACATTTCTTTAAGACTGGGTGATCAGAGCAAGTAGTAGAAGTCTTCTGTCACGCGAGAACATCCTAATCAAAGGTAACTAAGCTTGTCGTAGAACATAATTACCATCCAATCACAATTCGTTATCAATTACCATGCAGTAAGTGAAGACGGGACAGAATCACGCTGAATAGCATGACAGAAATGCTCTCTCTTGCGCCTTAATTGTCAAATACACACGCAGCTGTCAAAATCTCCATCGTGTGGAGTATCTCATGTAAATACAGTCGGTTATGGCTTAAGTAAACGTGAACAGGTAAAAACCGGATATGTGTCAGTATATTACAATCATTCGGTCTTAACGGGACAGCAGCCTAATTAAATACCTGTCTGTCTCATTACTGGTCACCCTAACGAGGACCATCTGACACGGATCTTTCTTTCTCTCCAGCTCAATGACGGCCAGTTCACTCCGATACAGTTAGTCGGGATGCTGCGCGGCATCGCGTCGGGAATGAAATATCTCTCGGAAATGAGCTACGTGCATCGTGATCTTGCCGCACGGAACATTCTTGTCAACAGTAATCTGGTCTGCAAGGTGTCCGACTTCGGTCTGTCGAGATTCCTGCAGGAGAATTCGTCTGATCCTACCTACACCAGCTCACTGGTACGCAATGAGAAGTACTTCACATGAACTCAATATTATAGGGGGGAAACAATGCAACCGAGCATGTCTAGCAATGCAAGCGTCATGATTTATCCCGAAATGCTTTTTTTAGGGCGGAAAAATTCCGATTCGTTGGACGGCACCCGAGGCCATTGCTTTCCGTAAATTCACCTCCGCATCAGATGTGTGGAGTTACGGCATCGTCATGTGGGAAGTGATGTCGTTCGGAGAGCGGCCGTACTGGGACATGAGCAACCAGGATGTAGGTGTTTGCATGTTTGACATTTTATTGTGATTGCATTTTGTTTTACATTAAGTTTAACTTTAAATTAAATCAGAGATGCAGTAGAAATCTTGTCCAGATGGTTATTTTTGTTATGGACAATAGCCGAAATGTTTGCAGATATTGCTCTCCGTTACACTATTGTTCAAAAGTGTGGTGTCAATAAAATTGTTTTGTTGTTGAAGAAATTAATACTTTTACTCAGCAAGGTTGCATTGATCAAAAGTGACAGTAAAGACATTTTTAATCTTACAAAAGAATATAATTTTTTCTATTCATCAAACAATCCTGGAAAAACATGCATCACGGTTTTTCGCGAAAATATTGTGCAGCACAAGTGTTTTCAACATTGATAATAATCAGAAATGTTTCTTGAGCAGCAAATCAGCATATTAGAATGATTTCTGAAGGATCATGTGACACTGAAGACTGGAGTAATGAAGAAATGATCACAGGAATAAATAGCAGTTTAACAGATATTCACAGCGATTTCACAATATTTCTATTTTTACTGTATTTTTGATCAAATAAATGCAGCTTTGGTGAGCAGAAGAGACTTCTTTTAAAACAAAATCTTACTAGCCTTCTCAGAATGAAGCTAATATGAAGCTATAAAGTGCTAATATTGACATTATACATGCATTTTCAGGAAAATCTGTAAAACATAGTCTCTTTGTACCCAATCAGGTGATTAATGCCATTGAGCAGGATTACCGGCTCCCGCCGCCTCCCGACTGTCCCACTCACCTGCACCAGCTGATGTTGGACTGCTGGCAAAAGGAGCGGACGGCGCGGCCACGCTTTTCCAACATCGTCTCAGCACTCGACAAGCTCATTCGCAATCCTGCCTCGCTTAAAATCACCGCGCAGGAGGGGGCAGGGTACGTTTAATATCCAATACAGCACTATATCACTTATTATTCCAGTTATGTCAAAGAGCCACAGCAAGAGGACCAAAAACAGGGGTTGAACGACTTCTGATTTTTTAAAGTCGACTTTTATGTGATGAATGTCGAGTCGAAGTCGACTAGCTAGTAGTGAAGCTGTGGAATTTAGTTAAGAAATATATGCTTGAACTTTTTCAGTTTCTAAGCTATTTTATTGAGAAATCACAGAACAGTGTTGACAATGCATTTCCGCGCTGAATGATTCTGTGCGCGTGATGTACGAGCTACTGTCTGAAGCCTGTGTTTGTGCGTTACAGTGAAGCAGCGCATTATTAGATTAGAACGACGATTAACTTACCTGTACAATAAGCTGTTTAAAATGTGCATTCTCCCGTTCAATTTCGAGCATCCAGTAATATAATCACACATGTCTTGTGGAGCGCTTTCAGAGTATGCATTTATTTGTCATTTTAACTGTTTGGAAACGGAGCGTAAATGAGGAAGTCCTTCAAAGATTTTTAATCCTGTTGCGCCCTCTATAGGACCAGAGACTAGTCGACGTCAAGCTTAAAGCGTCATGGCAGAGCATTGAAGTCGACTAGTCGATGTGTCGGTGCAACCCCTAACCAAAAACCACAAAGACCAAGCAAGTAAATCTACATTTTTACTACTTTTTTATATGCAAAGCATGCATCAGATTCCCCATTGAGGTCTTGATTTAGAATCAAACAAATTCTAGGACACTTCATGATTTAGTTCGGTTGCCGTTGGTTTTATGTTACTGTGTCAACCCCAAAAAATCAATGTTAGACAGTAACGGAATTACTGAAGAATAGTCCAAACCTCGTCACATGTGATTCCAGCAATGCATTTACCCAACAATGCTTGTCAATCAAGAGCATAGCAGTTACTGTTTAAGCTTTAGTTGCATTTCACTCCGTGCACCACTTGGTTAGCTTGGCTCTCGTACACCTCTTGTATGTTAGTCTTGCCCCGCCCCTCTCAGCATGTTGGCCTGTCAGTCTGTCAATCAAGACTCAGTATGACTCAGTATCTCCTCGAGGGAAAGCTGTCAGAGTCTTCCTCTCTCTGGCAGTCTTTCTACAGGCCGACTCAAGACGTCATCTTACATGCGCTTTAACACTTGGCTCTCTCTTGCTCCTCAGACCCTCTCACCCGCTGTTAGACCAGCGCTCCCCGCTGACGCCCGCGTCCTGTGGGACAGTGGCTGATTGGCTCAGGGCCATTAAGATGGAGCGTTACGAGGAGAGCTTTCTGCAGGCCGGTTACACATCCATGCAGCTGCTCGCACACATCACCACAGAGTGAGTGAAGATAACAGCACCTTCATTCAACAACATCGCTCATTTGTAAAGTTTATGGATATAAACCAGGTATAATAGACAGCAAAATACAAGTAGAGCTTAATTACAAGGACGATTTTTTAAATTATACTTGGTGAAGAATAAATAAATGAATTTGCAATCAAATTCATGAAAATAAAAAACCTAGAAACAAAGAATTATATTATATTATATTATATTATATTATATTATATTATATTATATTATATTATATTATATTATATTATATTATATTATATTATATTATATTATATTATATTATATTATATTATATTATATTATCTGTTTTATCAGGGAATAAATAAATAAATAAATAAATAATAGTATAAATAAAAAATAGTATAATGAATAATAATAAAAAATATTATTATATTATATTATATTATATTATTATTATTATTATTACCTTTTTAAATGTTTTCAAAAGAAGTGTCTTCACCCAGGCTGCATTTGATTAAAAATCTAATTTTTAAAAGAACTGTTTTCTGTTTGAGTGTATTTGAAAAGTAATTTATTTCTGTGATCACATCTGAATTTTCAGCATCATTACTCCAGTCTTCAGTGTCACATGATCTTCAGAAATCATTCTAATATGCTGATTTGCTGCTTTGAATTGATTTGGAAATCATTTGTAACAATACAAATAAAAAAAACTGTCACTTTTGATCAATGTAATGCATCCTTGCCCCCCAAACTTTTGAACCGTAATGTATATTTATATATATCCTTATTATTTTTTAAAGATGTAAACACCATAATATAATCGTTTCTATGCTCATGTCTGCTGTTATTTTAAAAGCTAAGGTCTTTATTCTCTCTCTCTCTCTCTCTCGTTCCGTCTGTCAGGGATCTGCTGCGTTTGGGAATAACTCTGGCTGGTCATCAGAAGAAGATTCTGTCCAGCATCGAGTCTCTTGGGATTCAAAACCAAACTCCAGGGAATGTGCTCTACTGAGTGAAGCGTCCACACACACAGACGCTTGCTGAGTTTGCCTGAGAACCTTCATGTAACCTACACACTCACAATCAGGAACATTTCTACTTCCTTTTTTACCGGGTCACTTAAGGATCAGGATGGCTTACTTGCTTCCAAGACTACCTAAAGGGAACCAGTCCAGGAACCTGCTGGAACTATCACTGTAATCCCACTAATATTACAAAGCGTCATTTGTGATATCAAGCGGCTCTCGTAGGGATGTTACCTCCACCATTTCAAAAAATTTTTGGGAGCCACATGATGTAACCCAAAACACGTCTCGATGCAAAGACAGTGATGACGTATTTCCATTTTTGTAGAGTATTTTTCTAAAGGAGACTTTCATACTGAAGAGACTGGTGGAGGATATGCAGCAAAAGATGAGAAATATGAGACCTTTATATCACGAGAATTTGGATACAAGTATCAGATTACAGACTGTGCGTGAACGGTCACATGCTCACACACACTAAGTGCCAAGTAATTGGTATTTTGTTTTTAAATGATGCACTCAGTGTGTGAGTGTGTGTATGTGAGCAGCAATAAGAAAAACGAGCACAAAAGTCTTGGCACTTTTTTTTTTCGAAGAGAATGAGGCAGAAGTTCCATTGGTGGACAAAATATGCGAAATGTATGTGCTTATACACACACACACACACTCACTCACTCACACACACACACACACACACACACACACAACACACATATATACAGACACACACACATACACGCACACACACACACACACACATATATATATACACACACAC